ATTTGGTCTAATTCGATTCAGAATGGATTGAAACGTCGAGAAAACATAAAATTAGCAAATATGTTTTTTTATGAAAACAAACTTCTCCTTCGGGAAGTTGAAAAGTGGTAGCTTTCACTACAATAGCTTGCCCAGTTATTTGTTCAGTTAAAGTCGATGTTGAACAAAGTTCAAATAATATTCGTCTGCTTTAAAAGTAAAAAAATGTATAAAAGTTACCTGAAATAGGCAATATAATTTCTGACACATCAATTGATTCGGCAGGTAATATAACGGCCCCTTCGATTTCTCCTGGAAATACCGCTCTTTGTGATTTTGACAGGGTTTTTCACCTTCTACCCAATTAGATGGAGTATCATAGTTATCATTTCGAATCCAGCGTTTCAAATACGTTGCTTCAGTTATTGAAGTTACAAATATAACAAGAAAACAAAATGTAGTTATTATCCACATTTTCAAATACCTTTACGTTTGTATAAATGAACACTGCACTTGGAACTTTTAATTATTACCAACTTCCAAATTACGATTTTGATTTTTTTTTAATATAATTACTATCAAAATGAACATGGAATTTCAGTTTTGGTTACTGAGAGTTGAACCTTTGATGCTCTTTGTACGTAAATACATTATTGTATTGTGCGATACCAGAAGTGGGTGGCAATACTGGTAGTGTCGAATTACAGATAAAAGATGCATTGCATTTCGGCATCGCTCTTTCCTATTAATATATGATGCTAATATGAATATTTTGTAATTTATATATATATATATATATATATATATATATATAAATATATATACATAGATATAATTTCAATAACACATAAATAAACATTTTTCATAAAACTGTTTTTTAATTACAGATGGATGCCCAAGAAACAATTTTATCATATTATTTCACCATCTGAAGAAAAACCTTTCGCTTTATATATATATATATATATATATATATATATATATATACATGCTGTCCCAGAACTCAACGTCAAACCAAAACGTGGTGAAAGTACAGCCCTGCAAAAATATCTTTTAAAACCCTAATTTTTTTTCAAGAATTAGGTTTTTCTTATAATTGGCCAACTTTGGTCTTATAAAAATCATCACAAATAAGTAAAATTATTGATATAATGTATATTTCTGCCTGACTTAGTTTAGTTGGTTTATTGGAATAAAAATCGAATAAAAAACACATTTTTTTCATATGATAAATATTCAAAATTATACTTACTCGCCACAACCCCTTTTTAGTAATAGTCAATTTAGTAATCGAATTATTTTTATCCAGCTTTCAGACAGTGAGTGTTTTTTACTGAATTCAGATTAATTGTTTTAGTTAAGAAACAAACGCAATTAAAGAAGTTTGCATTTCACATTAAAGAACTTTTTTTTATTAACGATTGTCAACCACTACAACTTTTTTTCAAAAATTTTTTTCTTACCTTCTAGCAATTCTAACATTTTAGTAATTCAATCATTTTTTTGTAAACTGTTTTTCCTCAATTTATATTAATACTGAGCTTATAAAGTGTTTCTTTAAAAAAAAAAAAATAGTTTTTATCAAGGGTTGATTACAGCAGCGGCGCTAGGCGTGGCGGTGTCGGCGACCGTCGACGGCCTCGCGCTTGAGGTGCCTCACAAAGGACTCCACAAAATTTTCAATTAATAAAAATTTAGTTTTTCATTATAATTTAGCAATTATAGCAGAACACTTCCCAACATTTCTATTTTATATTTGTACTTATGCAACTGCCTTAACTGCACAAACGAGTTAATCGCCCAGGAATATAGCGCCATTTCTTATTTTTGAATCATGGTGATATTTAATAATCGTTAATTAAAACTATTTTTATATAATATAATGCGATGTCGATCTGCTTCATATGAGACAAATATTTGGAGATGCCGGGGATCGAACCCGGGCCTTTCACATGCAAAGCGAACGCTCTACCACTGAGCTACATCCCCACTTGTTAATTACTGATTATTTCATTCACCATTGGGCCAAGTTATTGCAACAAACATTGCGATTCATAAGATCATTAAGAAATTTTCTCAAAAGGAATATTACACGCGAGCTAAGTTAGTTGCAGAAAAAATGTCAATTCATAAGATCATCAAGGAATCTTCTAAAAAAAATTTGGAATGTTTTACAATTTTACGTGTCATCCTTGCCAAGGGGTATGCTATCTTCTGTGTATCGTTCCAATTTTAGTATATGTTCTTCCGAAGCAAGAACACTTCTTAACGTTCCCAATTGTATTATACCTAAACATCCTAGCTATCGCCACAACCGCGTAATATAATGCCGCAAAAGTAAAAAGAAGTAAAAAATGTGTGCAAATAATATTAATATCCCACTCGAAGATTGAAAAAAAAAATTGCCAAACGATCTTAAATAAAATGTCAAAAAATAAAAAAAGAGAGATATCACATAGGAGATAATCTCTTAAATGCATTTACACCCAGCATATTGTCTTAAAAAATGTATATTATTTTGATTGGCAATAAAAATATGCAAAAAATAATAATATTAAATAAAATTTAAAAAAAATGTGGAACGCTTCACGATTTTGCGTGTCATCCTTGCGCAGGGGCCATGCTAATCTTCTCTGTATCGTTCCAATTTTAGTATATGTTCTGCCGAAGCAAGAACGCTTCTTAAACGTTCCCAAATTGTATTTATACCTAAACATCCTAGCTATACGCCACAACGCGAGTTAATCCCTAAGGGTCGATGCGCCATCTGTTTGAGTAATGGTGACAATTTTAAATTCAATCTTACAACTTATTATTATAATTTGCATATTGAATTATATTTAATAAAAAATTAAAAAAAAAAAGTGGAACGCTTCACGATTTTGCGTGTCATCCTTGCGCAGGGGCCATGCTAATCTTCTCTATATCGTTCCAATTTTAGTATATGTTCTGCCTGCGAAATACACATCCCAACGTTCGTAATTTGTATTTGTACTGTACTTAAGACTATATCGCTCCGAAATGTAGCTCTTAATCTTTGAATCATGGTGATATTTTTTGTTATAAATTATTGTTATATAATATAATGGGATATTGATCTACTTGATATGAGACAAATATTTGGAGATGCCGGGGATCGAACCCGGGCTTTCACATGCAAAGCAAACGCTCTACCACTGAGCTACATCCCCGCATGGCAAATAGCTTTTTTCATCCACACACGAGCCAATTAGTTGGCAGAGAAGAGCAATTCATAGATCATTAAAAAATCTTCCAAAAAATGTGAAACGCTTCACGATTTTGCTCACCATCCTTGCGTATGGGCCATGCCAATCTGCTCTGTATCGTTCCAATTTTTGTACGTGTTCTTCCGAACAAGAATACTTCCCAACATTTGTAATTTGTATTTGTGCTTAAGCACTCGCTTTACTGCACAACACGAGATAAATCGCTCAGAAATGAGGAGCCATCTCTCACTCCCTGAATCATGTCTAAATATACAATCATTCATTAATAAAACAATCAACTCCATTTTATATTGTCAATACATTCTTTCTTAGCTCTGTTTCTGTTTAGCGTTCTTTTATTTCTACCCAGGATTTGAAGAGGTAAATGTGGAGATGCTTTTTCCCCCTTGGCAAGATGACACGTAATTGTAAAACGTTCACATTTTTATTGAAGATTTCTTGATGATCTTATGAATTGCCATTTTTTCTGCAACTAACTTGGCTCGCGTGTCATATTCTTTTGAGAAAATTTCTTATTGATCTTATAAATCGCAATGTTTTCTGCAATAACTTGGCCCAAGAGCGAATGAGATTACCAGTAATTACCAATTGGGGATGTAGCTCAGTGGTAGAGCGTTCGCTTTGCATGTGAAAGGCCCCGGGTTCGATCCCCGGCATTTCCAAATATTATGTCTCATATCAAGTAGATCAATATCCCATTTATTATATAACAATTAATTAACAGTAAAATATCACCATGATTCAAAGATAAAGTGCTACATTCCGGAGCAATTATAGTGCTTAAGTTTTTCTAATGATGAGCTCAAGGAATTAACTGAACAAGAAGAAAACAAAAATATTGATATCAGTGATTCAGAGAAAGAGCAAAAAGAAATTCTGATGGCGTTTGTTAAAAGAAGTCCTACCATAACTGAAATAATGGATCACTTCATTAAATTGGTTCTAAATTTTGACAGGAGCTCAAAACTATAAGTGATGTTAGAGATGCTCTATCCGTTTATGAAGAACTTTTAAAAGTACAAGGCAAAAGAAAAAACCAAACAACATTAGAAGCTTTTGTCACAAAAATGCAAAAGACCGAAAACGTGGAAGGCTAACTAAATATGACTGTTTCAGAATTTTATTTGTTCTTCAAGAATATTCGTTTTGCTATTTTTATTTTGCAAGAAATAATAATGAAAAGATGGAAAGGAAAAAAAAGGGTTGAAGGTAGCTATAACATTTTTTTTCAGAAATAATAATACAATAATAAGTTTTTGATAAATATAATTCATTAGCTTTTAATAAAATATGAAGCATAATATAACTATATACACATTAAGGATCATGTTAACAATATTCCAAATAATTTTCTATTTTAATATCTACATACTATTCACTAAATTTGGACTTCAACTGCCTGATAGGAGAACATTGTTAATAATCCTCTACTCTCTTCTTAGTGTTTTATCGCCAAAATTGATAGCAAACTTCTAAATTGAATAAACTGCCGCCATTATTGCGAAAACAAAACAATATACTAAGAATCCAACTCTGTCTAAAGCTGCGGCCAGAAGTAACCAATCCTAAGGCAAAAGATCAAAATACTGTGAGAGGCATTGTAAAAGTTGATCATATTTATCTTACATATGAAAGTTTTTGTGATTTTTATTTTTCCTCATTATATTCGTCTTAAGATCAGATAGAGCTTACTAGACATATAAGTTTTAGTTGCGTGTCATAATGTTATTGATATATCTGTTATTTGCAAATATTATTAACTTATCATAGAGTAAGTTATAGTAGTCGCAAAAAAATCGAAAACAAAAATGTTCATATATCTTTACGTTTCAGAGGTTTCTGAATATTTTGACATACCTTATTATTAGAAAAAATGAAAGCATTTGTGTGTGTATGTATGTGCGGATACAATTTATCGTCCACGATTTCGAGATCACGGATCAACCGATTTCAATAATTCAAAAAACATTCGATTCCTATTGATAAGGAGACGTGCTGTTTTTTGGCAGAAGCAGGTTCAGCCATTCCGAAGATACGGCGCAAAAAGTGCCAAAAATGGTAGTTCAAGTTTTGAGAAAATGGAGCATACGATCTGAACGATTTAAAAAAAAGTATTTGTATTAGCGAAATGAAAAACTGATAAAATTTGAAAGAAGGCAGGTCTAACGGTTTTGGAGATACAATAAAAAAGGTACAAAAAATGCTATTTGGCGAATAAAACTGATTATTAGACATATGCACATCAAATTGTCAGATAATTTATATATATTTTAATCTTTTAATAACAAGAACAAATTTTGTTTACATTTCTATGGGTTCTGTACCAATGTTTATCCGTTATTCTGCGACGCGGCGCCCACGCGCTTTTATATTTCGTTTTTACGCAGCTAACGCATAGCGATTGCTTTGAAAAAAAAATTAAAAATTTCCAAAATATGCTAAAATATACAAAAATCATTTTCTTTAAAAAGGTCAATTTCTTTCAAAAATTTTAAAATTCTTAAAAATCTATTTATTTTAGGCTCTAAGAAAAAATTGAAGACTTTTCAAACCTATTTATTTTTGCTACGGAAAGTTCCAGCTATTTGCCTTAAGACACGACGCCATTCACTACTAGTTTTCTTTAAAATATTTAAATGAATGAAGGAAAATCCCATAAATTGTTCAAAACTAAACGGGTCCCATAAATTGTGCAGACTCGGCAAAATTAAAATAAAATATAAGTTAAATCTATAAAAACAGATATAAAATAAAATTTTAAGCTTTAAAAATTACCGTTGAGGAATTTTATTTATGTATTCTATGTAACTATTTAATGATCTATAAGTTTAAAATTTTATTAATTGCTTTACATTTGATTATTGTGTATTTTAAATGATCTGCTAAGTGATGACTAATTTAGATCCAAAAATGTTGTTTATTTAATACAAATCGGAATATTTTCAAAATGCAGAATACGTAAAAGTTTTAAATAATGAAGTTAATCAAATTAAACATAAGATACTGATAAATACTTGATAAAGTGCGGGCTGTTTAGAGGCAGAAGATGGTGCAATCATCTGACGATCATCGGTAGAAGTCATTTCATCAAAATTTGATGCATTCGGTTGCTCCCTAAGCTCTTCTGGCCTATTGCAAGGTACTGGTGGCTGTAATAATAAAGAAAATGATCATATTCAATTACGAAATTCATTTTCACGTAGATGATAAATTAAAAGTTATAATTAATTAAGTAATTAATGAAAGATATTTAAATCATTTATTCACTTAGATCTCGCTAAAAAATCTATACATACTTCTTGCATAAAATGTTTTAGGCCCAACCATGGTCCTAAGCAGTTTAACATATTTTTTATGGTCCACGGTAAGGGTGCTGAATGCTTTGTTCGAGCCAAGTTTAGGACTACCACGGCAATAATCAATGAAAATGTCACCATTATTAAACTGCTGCTATAGAAAAGCACTGAAATGCAAATGTAATATGTTAAATAGAATAAAAAATAGACTTGGTCTTAATTTTGGTCAGTTGCATCAAGAATTATTTACAATTGAAATTAAGCTATTCATAATGATAGAAAATTTCATTAATTATAAATTAAATATATAAGTTTTTTAATATTTAGATATTTTGTAATTTATAAATTACTCATTTTGAATTTGATTTGAGGGGTTGCAATAATTATTAAGCTTAAATAAAATATATTATAAATTATTGTATTGCATATATTTAAATACATATATCAATATTTATTCAATTCGAGTATCAGTCTTCCTTTGGCTGATTTAATCGTACAAATTTGATTTTGGAATTTTTGTTCTTTCAATTCCTTCGATCAAACCTTTAATAAGTATGATTTTTACGTTTTTTTAAGACTAACTACAATTAGATTAAAAATATTTTTATTTCTGCTAATGTATTTAATAAACTTTTGCAGTTTATTTGTGAATTTCGAAAAAACAATACACTCAAAGTTTTTGGAAAATAAAACTATTAAAAATAAAACAAATATTGTCATTTTAACTAACTAGTATAGTGCAGTGGAGACAAGTGGGCCACGTTTTTCTTTTCAAAAATGGTCAATAAAGAAAATATTTTCTTGATTTTTTTAGTTGAGAGGGTATACCAAAATGCAGCTTTTTATCATTGCAGATGCTTGCATTTATGTTTGGACGTGTTCTCCAAAAATGTAGGAAGATATGGGTCACCCAAATTTTTATCTGAAAAATGCTGCTATTAAGAAAATTATTATTATTATTTTAGTTATATTAAGCAAATAAAAAATAGCTTCAGAGAAAACCAAACAACCCTTGAACATGGGAAATATATATTTATACAGATGTTAATAAAGAGATAAAAGCATCCGTAATACTATTTTTGATATAAGCCATTTCGTGGGGCATTTGTCACAGAAGTTTTCACCAGAAATTATAGGAATTATAAGCTACAAATTTTTAATCCGAGGGATTTCAAATTCGCTAATTACGAATCCGTTGTCAAATTTACAAAATTCACAATCGTTGACACAAAGTGAAGGGTAGAAATTAAAAAACAATTACTTCAGTAATAATGTTATTATTAAGGAAAGAAGGAGTTATAAAGTTGGAATGATAAAAAAGTTGAAAAAAACATTTTGCAACATTCAAGTACAGTGTCTGTCGCAGTTATCGCACTTGATGGAGTTTTTTCTTGTCAGCTTTGCCCGAATCAATTTATTGCAAATCAAGCAAAAATCAATGTCTTTATTTGAAGAAACCGAAGGCTTTTTTTTGAGTTTTTTCACAGCTGATTGTGAAGTAATCGCCTTCCAGGAAACTTTAGCTGGTACTTGCGATTTTTCCCTGTTTTTTGTTAAGAAGCATGATGACTGAAGTGATGAAAATAAATAAATAAGACGTTTGAATAATTAATCAAAATTTTAGTGTGCAAATGCATAAGAATTCCACAAAAACTCGATGTAAACAATCGGCAAAAATCACTTTGCATTTCAAAGATTATATGTCTATATAATATATTTCATAATTACTTGACTTTTTCAAATAAAAATTGGATGACATTTCTCGTAAAAGCGTACGAGGGTAAAAACTTTCTTAACGAAATTCTTAGCGAAATGTGGCACACTCCAACCTGTAGCCCACGTCTGTTCATCGCACCCTACCAAAAAAGCAATCTTGTTTGATAAACATTTTAATTATCTTTACTTCATTATGGTTCCATTGAAATTCATATTTTCTTTAATAGACAGAGCCGTTTTACTAGGTCATTAAATCTGATGCAATGAAAATTTTAGCCCATTTTCTAATAATATTAATTAATTTTTAGTAAGCACCATTTAGATGTACAAATAAGATTTAGGTTTTTGGGTAAACCGGGATACCGGGATTGCATTTCATATTACCATTGAGTAATCTTCATTTTTGTTATAACTTGATGCATATTAACAATGATAATTACTAAATATTTTTATTATTATATTTTTTTTATAAAGATCGAGGTTAGAGTAGACGATGGTACGTTGGATCAAATATGTTTTTCAAAATCGTTATTGTTTATAATTTGTATAAAAAATATTAATCACGTATTCTTATTAATGTATCGCCGAAACGGCTTGACCTGCCTTTGCCAAAAACTAATCAGCTCTTTTCCCTATCAATAGGAATCGAATGTTTTTTGAACCATTCAAATCGGTTGATCCGTGCGCCCTAAAACGTGACTGGAAATTTGTATCCATACATACATACACACACACACACATACACACACACACACATCCATTTTTTCTGAGGTATGCCAAAACGTTCAGAAACCTTCAAAACGTCGATGTTAAAATTTTCAATTCCGATTTTCGGCCCATTACAATAACTTACCCTACGGGAAGTTAATAAACTTCTCTTTCGGAAAGTTAAAAATAAAAAAATGAAAATATAGAAATAAAATATACAATTTGTACAAACTTGTGTTTTGTATTGGTTTTAATTTAATATATTAGGTGCGCAACGCTAATACTCTAGCAGTAAGGATCGGTCGATTTTGATACATCCAAAACGTCACGAACCAAGCTTAGACATATGGTAAACAAAATGCTATAAGTGATTTTGTTTTTGCATTATATAGTTCTGGTTAAGTAAAAATGTCTAATATTATGCCAAACAATCGTTGTTTGCGGGAAGTGTTTATTTTTTAACATGCCATGATTGGTTTCGTCGTTTCAAAAAAAGTGATTTTGATGTTGACGACCGTCCTCGCGAAGGAATGTCCAAAACCTTCAAAAACGTTAAATTGAAGGATTTGCTCGAAGAAGATTCGTGCCAAACTAAATAAGAGCTTGCTTCAGAATTAGAAGTTACCCGTCAAGCCATTTCGAAGCAAATGCACGCGTTGGAAGTGAAAAGAAGTAAAAAACTTGGAATCCTTATGAGTCGAAGCCAAGAGGCGTCGAGCGTCGTTTCTGCGCCTGTGAACAACTGCTCCAGCGGCAAGAAAGAAAGGGTTTCTTCATCGCATCGTGACATGAATCGTGATGACTACATTACAGCAGCTCGGCCAAATATTCACGCTGCGAAGATTATGCTCTACATTTGATGGGACCAGGTCGGTGTTATTTATTATGAGCTGTTGAAACCGAGCGAAACCATCACTGGGAAACGGTATCGAGTACTGCGCGAAAAACGGCCACAATACGAGCAGTGGCACGAAAAAGTGATTTTACTGCATGACAACGCTCGGCTTCACGTTACCAAGCCTGTTAGATCCTACTTGGAAACTCTCAAATGGCAAGTTCTCGCTATATTCCCCAGATATTGCTCTGTCCGATTTTTACTTGTTCCGTTCGATGGCACATGGCCTGGCTGATCAACAGTTCTACTCATATGAAGACATCAGAAAATGACTTGATTCGTGGGTAGCCTCAAAAGACGAACACTTCTGGCGTCAAAGTATTCGAGCTCTGCCAGAAAGATGGACATAAGTTGTGTTTAGTGATGCGCAATTCTTTGAATGATTCAGATGTAATAGTTTTTTTTATAATAAAGTAAAATTTTTATCGAAAAACAGCGAAAGCATAGTTGTTCACCTAATATTTTTTACAAGTTTTATCTTTCATCTCTAGGATTTAATTAATATATTAGGTTTATTTTTTATATTTGTGCCATATCTTTTTTATTGGTTTGCATTACTTAGAATGCAATTAAAAAATGAAATTTTTATCATATCTAGCTTATACATAATATTTACCCACTAATGGCGTATGGTTTGCCATGACTGGTAACTTTTGGCTAAAATACATCATAAGAATGCATATTATGATAGCGTTGCAAGAATTAAGTATAATTTTTTCTCCAGCTGTCGGTGGCAACCAGAAACTGAGCAAAGTCATGAGGACCACAATCGATGCCGGAGTTATAACTAAAGATGAATAAGTTGGCGACCGTCGAGTTAGTGTTATGTTAAATTCCACATCAGCGTATGGTTCTGGACAGCAAGGATAGTACTTCTGATGACGTTCAGCTGTATAATCTTTGACTTGCCATTCGTTATTACTGATAAGTAATTCAGTAAAGTCCTGAAATATGAGATACAAGTTGAAAAATAATTATTAATACCATATTAATTTCTTGGATTCTTACACATAAAATTGCAAGTATAATGAAAGGTAAGTCAATATTGTTTGACCAAATCCAAATGTTGATATAAAAACGGTTTTAATATGATTTTACGTTGATTTTGAGGTGTAATTGAATCAAAATAAAAGTTCGGAGTACCTAAAGAAATATATTTGTGATAGCTATCATAATTCACGTGATTAGAAAGTGAAATCGATCAACTGATCCAGGGCGCATCCAAACAACTTGGGCACTCATTTATTAATATCCAATGCATAAATAATACATACAAAACATAAAATAATATTTTTTGGAAATTAAAAAAAATAATAATAAAAAAATACTTTCCCCAAAAGCAATCGCTTTATCGGTGCTTAGTTCTCTCAAAAACTGCCAATTTTTGCACATTTAGCTCAGTATCTCCAAAACGGCTACATCTGCCTTTGCCAAAAACTAATCACCACTTCTCCTCATCATTACGAATGAAATATTTTTTGGGTAATTCAAATTGGCAATCTAGATTTTTATATTCTTCACTCTTTGCTTCATATCTCCGAAACGGCTGGACCAATTTTTTCCAAAAACTAATCAGCACTAATCCCCATCAGTAGGAAACGATTGCTTTTTAATCATTCAAATCTCTCCTGAAAATGTCGACGAAAAACCACATTTTCTGTGGTATGCCAAAAAGTTCAAAAACCTCTTAAACGTAAAGATATACAAAAAAAATTATTTCCCATTTTTGGCCCATTACTATAACTTATCCTACGGGAAGTTAACAACTGTGAAATAGTAAACTTTTCTTTAATTATAACCATCACCGTAAAGTCTTATCATCGCTTTAATTGGTGACCTCGACGTAATGTGATAAGGCAAAATAGAAGTGAAAGATTTTTTTTCAAATTTAATGTAAAATGTTTTAACTTCTTGTAGGGTAAGAATCAAAATGAACTTTTAGTTATATCTTCACGTTATTGATGTTTCTGAACATTTTGGCATACCTTACAAAATATAGATGTGTGTATGTATGTGTGGATTCAATTTCTCGTCTATGTCTACGGGATTACATATCAATCGATTTGAATGATTCAAAAAGCAATCGATTCCTATTGAATCGTGCTGATTAGTTTTTGGCAAAGGTTGGCCTAGCCGTTTCAGAGATACGGAGCAAAGAAGGCAGCAAATATAAATTAAGTTTTTGTGAAAATACACCGTCCGATTTGAATGATTCAATAAACATTCAATTTATAATGATGTGGAGAAATGGTGATTAGTTTTCAGCAGAGACAGGTCCAGTCGTTTCGGAGACACGGAGCTAACTGTGCAAAAAATGGTATATTTTGAAGGATAAAGCTTTCGATTTCAATGTTTTAAAATAAATTTTGCTTGTTTTGATAGTGCAAAGAAACGAATAGTTTTTGGGGAAGACATTTTTTTTTTATTTCAAAATTAAAAAAAAATTTACAAAATATTCTTTTTTGAATATAGAACATGATTTGGATTTTAATTTTAATTCTAGATAAAATTCTGAAGCTCATATTTTTCAAATAAATAATTTTACCTTTGTAATTCGGTTTTCATAATTCTTAGAAATATGAGCTTATGTCTTTGATTCTAATTCCGCTTGATTAGGTTTCATTTATTTTTTATGTAAACATATAAAATCGTTGTCGTTAGTTTTTTTTAGCTCTTATATTATGACTATAGAACTTTGCCTTAAGGGACGATGCCATGCACCACTAGCTTAGTAATATTTAAAAACCGATGTTTCTATGTTGGATGCTTTATATATTAAATTTAGTGATTATTCTCATTATCAGAATTGTAAGATTTCTTACCGTTGTATCAGGCGTTGACAGAACTATATCTAGTTGATTTGCATCATATGTCCAAGATCCAAGTTTAATACGGCAATGCTGAGTGTCGTATGGCCAATATGTCAAATCCAATTCGCAAAAAGCGGAAAATGTAGAAGGCGGCACCCATAGTACATCGCCCCCATTGAATACGATTGCCAACGTGTTTCCGTAATGATCAATGCTGCTGCCTGTGGCACTGGATAAAAAAATATATATAACAAAGAATATTACTATTTACTTCATAATGAGGATGACGAAAATTACTTATAAATTTTAATAAGTTGGGTGACATTGTAGCGGTATGGAGCATGTTGCGTTGAAGTGCTCCTAACCGAGAAATTAGCAAGGATCTTGCTTCAAGTCTGGTAAGCCACGTCACATGCAGAAAGATCGTTGCATATGGATTGGCTTCCCACACCTGAAGCCAACTTCTTTCTATTTTTTATGATTAAACTAATCAAATAAACTTATTTACGCTGTGAATGCTTACAAGATACATTGGTAAAACGTGCACCGAAGTCATTGAACCAGTGATAAGTGCATCAGAAGTATGCGCTTGAAAGGTATGTGCAGCAAAAGTATGCCCACCAGAAGTATGTGCACCAGAAGTATGTGCATCAGAAGTATGTGCACCAGAAGTATGTGCGTCAAAAGTAAGTGCATTTGCGAAGTGTGCACCGAAGGAGTGTGCACTGGAGAAAAGTTTACTGCAGGAAAATGTTTTGGAGAAAATTTTTTGGCATTAGAAGTAATGCTTAAGAAAAAAGAAGCTAAGGATGCTGCAGAGGCGAGTGCAGTAGTTGTGAAAGCATCAGAAGCATTGAAAGCGAGTGCTTTAGTTGCAAATTTGTTGACGAAGAATGAGTTGGCGAAGAGTGCGAAACGAAATTGCTTAAAAACGGTACTAATTGATTATTGAAGTATTTTGTTGTGGTAAGTTATTTCGTGTACAATTTGTTTTGTTGCAATTTTGTAAGTATATTTAAGTTAAGGTGGGTTGTTGTTATACAATTGCGATTGTGTGGTCAGGTATGATCGATCTGTTAGCGAAATATATTAAAGTATGTATGTATATAATCATATATTATAGTTTACACATAGACATTACACTACATGGACTGCTAGTCCTCATATGTTTTCTGTTGTAAAAGTGCTCTAATATAGATGGGTATGTGACGTCTCATGCTTGAGCGATCATTGCCGAACAAAATTATCAGCCATCACAATTGCCATTATATTTTTAAAATAAAACATATGACATACGACATTTAATCAATCGGGAGAGTCCGCGATTGTCGTCGGAAATGTTCGCTCAGACATATGACGTCACATACCCTTCTATGTTTGAGCACTTTTTTGCGCTCGATTAGCACTCCATATAAAATAGGGTTTATGAGTGCACATTATAATATTAATTAATATTATAATAGTCAGTGTGCCATAAGATTGCACGATCTAGTAGCACGTATTTTAAAATAAAAGATGAGTCCGTCTTGTTTTGATGTGTAGTGAATTGTGGATTTTTTATAATGGCTTGAATTAGCTCGGAAATACAAGAAATTAATTGATATTGTATTATTAATGCAGATTATTACAATTAACAGTTGGTTAACAGTTATCAGTAGTAAGATTACATATATTATATATATATATATATATATATATATATTAAGTTAAATAATATCGTGTGTATATGTACCTATTATATAGCAAAATATCGGGCTGCCAAATTTCGTGATCCGCTAAATGAATGGTCTTAACTCCATTGAATTGCTCTGGATCCCATACTAACTTCGGATCTTTCCATGTCTTGAAAGAAACAAATTATGTGAATAAATATTGTTATTAATGAATTTTTATATGACATACATTCCTTGTCATATTAAATGTAGGCTTATATTAGCACATTTTGGGACCATGAACGCGAGGAAATATACGCAATATTCAGTAGATATATACCGTTTGTCCTAATGATATATACATATCTATTAATTACTTACACTGTTAAATTATATAAATTTGTATGTAGAGTACGTAATAATGTAATATAGACTTTAAAAAAATATTTTAAATGCAATTACATTATTTTTTTCTGTGCATGCTCCTTCAACGCACTTATTTTGGATGTATATTATAGTTTATTTGGCACATATAAAAAGATACAGATATATGTGAAAAAGGAATTACATTTTTTTAATAGACGGAACATTGTTAAAAATGTATCGATGGCTTTTTGTCGATTTTAACTAGTTTTTGTTTTTGCTGCTTATTCGATCTCTTCACGCGTTATTAACAATGACAAAGCTGTTAGACACTGGAAAAAAATTATGTTCTATTTTTTAGAGCCAGAGACCTAACAATTCCTAAATTATGCATTATTTCTCTAAGAACCAATTTTCTAATACTATGTATTTTAATAGCTTATAATTGAAAAAAAAAAAAATTAATTTGACTTAGCAATCCCAGATTCACTTGGAAATATATTTTAAATCCATATTCTCAAGTAATAACGAATGTCTCATGCTTGATATCAGCCTGACCGAGCTTAGTTTTGAACCCAGAACCCGGATTGGAAGATTTGAGCTCTAACCACAGAATACTATTATTATAATTGGCATAGTCAATATTTATTTTGGTAAGGAATGCTTTGCTGCACTGTTGTTTTATTCTAAACCAAGTTCTTTATTTTTTTATTGGATAATTAAACATGTTTTTTTTCAACGTGAATTTAGTTTTGATATTATTTGATTATTTTTATACAATTTAAGCGTTTAAGTGGTTTCTGGTTATTTAGGGTGCTATTTCATTATATCTATAATTATATTATTAGTTTTTAGTTTGTCAAATGTTCCTTGGGCTTCAGATACTGTAAATAACGAATCACATCAAAATTATTTAAACGATTTAACACATTTTCGCCGCGTTTAAGCGATTATGTAGACATCAAAAAATATTTTAGACGTACGCGGCGTGTACCTTATATAATTCGTTCATTCGCATGGCTGTACTTTAGTATTTTGTTATCAGTTATCAATCACTTCATTAAATTTAGTTAGTTATAAACAGCCTACTTTAATTTAAAAATTCATTCTAAAATTATAAACAAATATTTTTAAGATTATAAACATATGTAAATCAGGAGTTCGTAAATCAGATAAAAAACAAAGTCTATCGACTATTGGTGGAAGCTTTACGTCTAGTACTCAACAAATCAATAGACACTGACGAGACACTATTACTCTACAAAATATATACATGAACGGATGACGTACCGATGATACTTGAACAAATTAAAATGCTTACTGGAAACTTTTACATAAATTTGAGGATCATTCAAATAACAACATCCAGGGTCTTGGCCAATATACTCGTGAAATAGTTTGGTATGGCAAGCACGCCATGCCGAACTATAAACTGATCCACCCATAGATGTAATTAGAACTCTTTTCTAATTATCTATTGAGTATAACATTTTTAATAAAGTATTTTTGGTTCAACTTCGTGAATATTTTAACTACTTACTGACGCATACTCTTATCCATTGTGGAAAACCTGGTAGAATTTCTAATCGAATAAGAAAGGCTAATTTTAACAAATTAACTATTCTTATAATTCGCCAATTTTAACTATTCCTATTATTAGTGGATTACCATTTTCGTCCATCCATTGACAGTCATTACGGCCGTTTGTTCATCCAAGTCGACATGCGTAATAACTAGTCCTACTTGCACTGTAGTTGTATTATCTCTTTCTGCCGGTCTTGTAAACTTATCGTAATCCGCCAACAAACTTTTTTTAATTTTGTCTGACCACGTGAGGTTCTGTGCTGATTTGGATGCTGAAAGATAAATAACAGTATTTCAGATATTTTATATACTTTTATCATAAAATGTTATTTTCAAAATATGGATCGCTTATTCTCAAAGCGGTGGGCAAGCCAATTTTTTTTTTAAATCATTGAAATTAGACGCTCCGTTCTCTCATAAATTTAATTATCATTTTTTGCACTTTTTGCCTCGTATTTTCAGATCGGCCGGACCTGTTTTTGCCAAAGACTAATCAGCACGACTCAATATGAATCGAATGTTTTTTGAATTATTCAAATTGGTTGATCCGTGTTCTCGAAATTGTCGACGAAAAATTATATCCGCACATACATACACACACATAGGGAGAAGTCGGACACCTAAGGTTATTTATAAATAAATCAAAAAATATTTTACGAAACGTTTATTAAATTATGACTTATGTTAGATAACAAAGTTAGAAATCGTACTAAATTAACAAAAACGCAACCTTTGCTAAAAAATAATTTACACTATCAATTAAAATTTGGTAACAAAAAATATGATTTTTATAAAAGTGGCACCTAGTACCAGTCATTTCAAAATAATCTGCATTCAACACATATGTAGGCATCCTTACACTCTAGAATGTCTGCACATGTGTGCTTGAAGAATATTCTTAGATATTACAAAAAAAGTCACTATTCCTCCACCTTTTTGGCTGGGCCACACCGATGCTCTCAGCTGGAGTATTTATCATAAACTTTTTGTTCTTTAACTAGAAAATACGAAAAATGGGAATATATAGTGACCGTTAGCACTCATACAGAACAAAATTAAATAATTAGAATAAATTACGTCAATTCTCACAAGAAATGTCAATATGTTTACTGTTCGGCGCTAAGGAACGACTTAGTGTCCGGTGCTAAGGCACAGACATTTTCGTCCATTTGGTGGTACCCACTAAAATTGTTTAAAATATCTAATAATATTCTACCATTTCACGGATAACAGTCAAGTACTACTTTTATCTATGAATGCTACTCAAATGTAAATCCATAAATATGCTAGAATTACATTCATTGATATTTAGGTGACGTCGTGATTTTGCACCTAAAACAGCAAAGGGTTGCTTCCGCCATGGCCGTGTGCATCACAGGCGAGGCTCGGCGTATGATCCTGTACCTGTGTGCCCCTCACGCCCCTTTTATTTGTATTTTGAAATAGAAAGATTTACACTCCTTTAAATAATACGTGTTAAATGGAGTATCCGGCGTTAGGTGCCGTCTGCCGTTACAGGACTTCTCCCTACATTTATTTTTTCAAGGTATGCCAAAATGATCAGAATACTATAAAGCGTAAAGATATATAAACATTTTCATTTTAGATTTGTTTGCGATTACTTTTGCTTGAAATTAACTTACCCTACGGGAAGTTAATTATGAGTACAATATAGTGTGAAAATCTTGCATTTTAATCTTGCATTACACTTAAAACTGAGAAAAATGGAAAAATACTTTTTTGGTCAAAATAGTGCACATATTTGAATCTTTGTTACATATTTAGTTTAAATCAAATTATTTTTTAATTAATTATGTTATTTACATTCTGTAAATGTGTTATCTTGAAATTGAAGAACTTGTAAAATAATTTACTTCATAATAAAATATATTTTGACGTCCACGTTTTAGCCAAAAAATCTGAATCGATTTTAAAAATTAAAAAACTATTCGAAATGTGTTATTTCGGGAACATGAGGATTAGTTTTGAACAAAAATCGTCCAAGCCGTTAGCAATTAACTATTGAAAAAAAAATGTGATAAAACTTATGTTGATATATATCATGGCCCTAAGAAACACACTAAAATATTACGGCCCTCGTATAATTTTAATTCATCAAAGTTTGCAAAAATATGATTAGAATTTGAACCAAAAGACAAAATTTGAAGTTCGCAAATTTAAAAGCCACTGAAAAATAAACTCGATATTGAAAATCCGCGATTGCACTAAACAAGTTCTAAGAAAATTGGTTGAATTATATAAATTAATTAAAATTTGAAATAATAAGCTACAATTTTAGGACATAGCACATGTCTCTGCACTATATTTAATATAATTACAGATAATTTAAATCGAAAACTCTATTTAAACTTTCAAAATAAACAGTTGAAAATTCTATCTAAGCATGTAATTATTATACATTTAGGGAAGTTCATGCAACTTGCAATTCCTATATTAGCACAAGGACTCGAACCCAGTATCCCTGGGGTTTGAGTAGGGTATATGCCACTGAGCTTTTCCCGATACATGTTTGAACTTACTATTAGGTTATTTTTGCTTGAAAGCATGTTATGATCTAAAAATAATCTAAAAAATATTGTGATAAAACTTATGTTGATAGATATTATGGTCCTAAGGAACTTACTAGAATATTACGGCCTTCGTATAATTTTAATTCCTCAAAGTTTGAAAAAATATGATTAGAATTTGAACCAAGAGTCAAAATTTGAATTTCACAAATTTGAAAACCAGTGAAATAAACTCAATATTGAAAATCCGCGATGGCACTAAACAAGTTCTTAGAAAATTGGTTGAATTATATAAATTAATTAAAATTTGAAATAATAAGCTACAATTTTAGGACATACAAACACATGTCTCTGCACTATATTTAATATAATTACAGATAATTTAAATCGAAAACACTATTTTCAAAATAAACAGTTGAAAATTTTATCTAAGCATCTCATTATTACACATTTAGGGAAGTTCATGCAACTTGCAATTCCTATATCAGCACAAGGACTCGAACCCAGTATCCCTGGGGTTTGAGTAGGGTATATGCCACTGAGTTTTTCCCGCCACATGTTTGAACTTACTGTTAGGTTATTTTTGCTTGGAAGCATGTTATGATCTAACAATAAGTCACAAAGCGTAGTTATTTATGTTATCGAATGACCTTCAAACAATATAATGCAACATGATACTTTTCAATGATTATAAACAGTACGACAAAGTTCAGTTTCATTCATACAAATAGCGCGAGCTTTGCCAATTCAGCAAACAAAAATAAGTGTAACAAAATGTATTTAATTGGATCCAAAATATAACTAATTCTTTAGATATACATTTAGAATTTAACACATATAAATGCTTCTCTTAAACGTTATTTATCCTCTTTCAGCAATAGGTAATCATATTTTAAGAAACAATAATGGCAATAGGTTACAACAAGGATTTGCGGATTTGTTCACATCCCGTTAATTCAATCGTCCAAAAATAGAAATTGAAAATTTTTGCATAATTTCACGGTTCAGAGGTTTCTGAGCATTTTTGCATACCTTAGAAAAAATGAATGTGTGTGCGTATGTGTGGATACAATTTTTATTAATTCGACGATTTTGGAACTACGGAACAATTCATTTGAATGAATAAAAAAAAATCGATTCCTATTGATAAGGAGACGTGTTGATTAGTTTTTGGCAAAAGTTAGTTCAGCCGATTCGGAGATACGAAGCACAGAGGGCAAAAAATAGAATAGAAATCGAGTTTTTGAGAGAATTAAGCATCCGATAAATGATTCGAAAAACTTTCTGTTTGTGTTGACGAAACGATTGCTTTTGGGGGAATTTTTTTTATTTAATTTTTTTTATTAATTCGGATTTTAATTTTAATTCTAGCTAAAGTTCTAAAGCGCACTTATATACTGAAAATAAATAATTTTAACTTTGTAATTCAGTTTATATAATTCTTATAAATATTAGACAATGTTATAGTATTTATAATAATCTATTTCAATACATTTTCAATTCCTCGAACATTTCGTTACGGTACGGGAAGTTCCAGCAATTTGCCTCAAGGTACGATGCTATACACAACTAGTTTTGTTGTTCAGATTATACTTGCATACGAAATTGGAGCATCCTATCATCTCAACTAGTAAAATGACTATTTGTGAATAATATAGTTACATTAATGTGTCTTTTGACCCTGCAACAATTATCATTTTCTCAATGACAATGTTTTGGCCTTCGTTAATAATTTCTCTCTCATCGTATTATCTATATAGTCACAAAGAGCAATGATATACCAGGAGAATTTACTACTGTGCATTTAAATTTTATAGCAAAATCCTTGTTTGTTTGTAATGTAGGTAATAATAATGTTTATTGGAAACAAAATAATTAACTTCCCGAAGGAGAAGTTTATGTTTTCATCAAAAAATCCGATTCGCTAATTTTATGTTTTCTCGACGTTTCAAGCCATTCTGAATCGATTGAGACCAAATTTGGAAAAAGTATGTGTGTGTGTGTATGTGTGTGTGTGTGTATGTGAACAGATTTTTTGCCGTAAATCGACGTTTTCTCCAAAAACGGCTGGACCGATTTCAAAAATTTAAAAGCCATTTGATGTATCTCAATGAGGACTATCGTCTCTTAGTTTTGTGCGGCGATCGGCCTGGCCGTTTCTTTGTAAATTGCAGAAAAGTGAAAAATTTTCGTCCACGTTTTAGCCCGCAATTCTGAATCGATTCTGAAAATTCAAAAACCATTCGATAGATATTGGTTGGGAATCGTGCTGATTAGTTTTTGGTAAAGATCGGCCGGGCCGTTTTCTTGTAATAACGTTTAAAAAAAAAAATTTCGACATTTTTTATGATTTTTTTTTTGACGGTAGATACCATAGTTTTCTAGGTCATACTAAAATATTACGGCCCTACGACAACTCGTTTAGCTTTAAAAATTCGTCAAAGTTTGCAAAAATTGGTATAGTTTTTTTGACATTTGTCAAAACTAGACTTTTGATCGACGTTTTCTCAAAAGCGCCTGAACCGATTTCAGAAATTTAAAAGCCATTTGATGTATTTCGGTGAGGACTATCGTTTGTCAGTTTTGTGCGACGATCTGCCAAGCCGTTTCTTTGCAATTTGAAAAAAAGTGTTAAACTTTTCGTCCACATTTAAGCTAATCCTACCGAACCGATTTTAAAAAATCAAAAACTGTTCGAAAGATATTAGTTGGGAATGGTACTGATTAATTTTAGGTGAAAATCT